GGATCGCTGGACCATACCCTTATAGTTTTAATATAGCCTTAGGAATTAATCTTATTTAATTATATTATTAAGCTTTTACTTTTAAAAGAATTAATAATAAAAAAAACTTAAAATAGCATTTTTATTATAATTAACTAATTAATAAAAATAAGCTATTTTATCCTAGTTAAGAAAAGCAGTATAGCTAAAAACCTAGTATATTAGTTTTAAAAATATATTTATACTAACTATAAATTACTAAATAAAATTATTTTAAATAAAGGAATAATATTTATTTTAAAATTTTAATAATTACTTATAACTAGACTTAAATTAAATTATAAAGTTAGTACTATTTATTACTTATAAATAAATAAATAAATAAAAAAAATTAACTAAATTATTAAAATATATCTTTATTACTATATTAACTTTAAATAAAATAACTAGGTTAAATATTTACTAATAATATAAATCTTATATAATAGTATATTAATAAAATTAATAAAAAATTACTATTTTATATAAACTATAAATTTAAATTAAAAGCTTTTTAACTACTATTATAAAGCAAAAATATAAAAAAAGTAATTATTATAGTAAATTAAATAAAAGAACTATATAATAAATTATAATTATAGCTTAAATTTATATAATAAAAAATAATTAAATATATAAATTAAAAAAGAATTAAAAGACTAATTTTTTAAAAAGAAAATATAGTTTACTTACTTTAATATACTTAAAATAATAAATAAGTAAATATTAAAATAAATAAGCTAAGTAATAAGCTTAATTTTAAGAAACTTAAACCTTATAAGGTTTTAAAGTAAATTAAAAAAGTTAATTATAAATTTAATCTCTTAATATAAGAAAAATAATAAAAATAATTAATATACTTAATTTTTTATATATTACTACTTAAAAAAGCAGTAGTTAATTTAAATATAAGTAAAATTATTTATAATAAAATTATAATAAAAGGTAAAGAACTTAAATATAAAGTTAAATAAATACTTTAAATTAAATTTAATAAAAATACTTAATAGCTAAAATACTTTATAAAATAAAAAAATTATAATAATATTAATAATATATAAAAACTTATTAAGAATTTTAAATATTTAAAAACCCTAGTTAATAAGTTTTATTAATAGTTAAACTTATAAAGGTTAATAGTAAAGGATTTAATAAAAATTAATCCTAATTAATAAAGTTAATAAAAAAAACTAAAATATTAAAATTAATTAAGTTAGGTATAAATATTTCTGCTTAATAAGCAGCTACTACTGCCTTATACTCTGCCTTTTTTATATATTTTAACTTTTTTAAATTATTAATTTTATAAGTAATAGCCCTTTATATTTTTTTAGCTTATTTTTTTTTTTATATATAAAGATATTTAATATATATACCTGCTTTAAGCTAGGCTTTTTTAGCCTGCTTTAGCTTAAAATTAAGATTAATACCTTTATTAGCTATATAATAAAGTTAAAATATAAATAAACTAAAAGCCTTATAGCTAGGCTATTAAAAATAAATATAGCTTAAATAATAAAAAGAATTAGCTTTTAATATAAAATATTAGTAACTATATTTTTTATAGTATTAGCAGGGTTTTATAATTAATAGCTTAAGTAAGATTAACTACTTTAAGGTATACTACTAAGGTATTTAAAAAAACTTAAAATATTTATACTTATTATTAACTATTTTAGTTAATATATAAAGAAAAGGATATATAAATAAAAAACACTTATAAAAAAGTAAAAGAACTATAAGTTTTAATAATATAAATAAGGTCTTAAAAATAAAACTAATAAAAAGGGGATATTATATTATAACCTAGCCTTATAGTTATAATAATAAGCCACCCTTAATAAGCAGTATTAAATAAATATTAAACTATTTAGCTAATTAAAAGCTACTTAATAAAATTAACTATTAAGTATATTAAAAATAACTTAATAAACTTAATAATTAAGTATATTAAGGATATTAAAATAACTAAATATATAAGTTATATTTATATTATTTATTTAAAAAGTTTAATTAGCTAGTTATTATTACTTAATAGTATTTATAATATAAATAGATTAAAACTTAAATATTTACTATATAAGTGTATTAACTAGCTGTATAACTATATATACTTTAAATACTAACTTAACTCTCTGCTAGTATAAACCTAAATAGCCCTCTTATTAAAGCTATTTACTTAAACAGTTTATTCCTTAGGAAATAGTATTCTTACTAATTATAAGAACCTGGTTTATTATAATAATTTTATATATAGAAATTATACTAAAAAAGGTATAGTTACTTTATTTTCTATCCTAATTTAAAATCTTATAATCTATTAGCTCTTATAAATCTAGGCATTAGAGCGCTAATTCACAATGCTAATAAACCAAAACTAGCTATATACATAACGCGAAAAATCGAATAGTAACACCTCCAGACGACTAAAGAGACAATACCTGCTTGTCTTCCGCCAACCTGTTGCTCAGTTCAGTCCTGTCTACATCTTGAATGTTTACGCACTGCTCAATCGCCAATACGGCAGCCGTCGCTGCGCTTTGTCCCATGATCATATACGTGGGTTCCATCCTAATTGCTGCAAAGGCCACGTGCGTACTGCTCATTGTGACTGGGTTAAGGAAGTTGACGGCATCGGCTGAGCGAGGGATAATACTGCCGAAAGGAATGGGGAAAGGCTGCGGGACCGGAGTATGCACGAGTCCTTCATTACGAATCCCCGAGTCAACGACAACTCTCTCCACTTCGTGAGAGTCAAGTGTGTAGGATCCGAGGCCAATAATGCTGTCCTGGGCGAAAGTCTGCGGGGTTTGGACGTCGCTTTGCTTCATGATGTAATCTCCCTGCATGCGTCTTGCTTCGCGAATGTAGATTTCATAAGGCCAGTTTCCGTTTGATGTCCATTCATCTTTGGCGTATCCCCAAGTGCTTGCGGAATCCCTGAATCGCTGAGGTACTCGCGGGTGGTTGGCGAGCGTCCAGAAGAACCCTTGTGTATATGTCTTGTAGCTTTGAGCGATAGCTGCGCGGGCTTCGAAGCTCTCCTGAATATAGTTTGTTTTCTTGACCGGGTCGTAATTTCCACCAAGGAAGTCAGTGCTTACTCCGCCGTTGGAGTTGGAGTCCGTCTTCAGGTTCGGCATCAGTTGCTTTGTGAAGAATAGATCGTGGTAGCCGGCTTCGATGTAACGAAGTAAAATCTCATAAAGATCTTCGTCATAGTCATCCGGTTTAGAGAAGGGCACTTGGTTGTCAGTTACCTGCGTCAAACTGAGCCGATAGTTGAATGCTTGAAGCCGATAATTATCAGCTGTACCATTAACCTTCGGGACGTCACCAGCCGCTACAATGTGGTCGATGCCCTTGATCAGTCCGCTGTTGGGATCGTCGGGTGTAAGATATGGTGACATTCCGAGATAACCCTCTTCCGCTGCGATCAAAACCCCTGCCAACGACTCGTCAAAGTCTGATCGAGCTTCGCGGCCAATACTGTAGGAAATCTGAGCCGCAGCCATGAAGTCCCCCTCATAGCTTGTATCCATGAACATTAATGCATCGTATACGTGGCCTGACTGCGTCTTGATGGATGTAATCCTGTTGTCTTTGAAAGTGACACTATCGGCGGAGGGGACAAGAGACTCGTTCCGGAAAATAGGTATGTTCAACTCTTTCATCCAGTCCTCGAATATCGACTCCGCAACATGGGGCTCGAACGTCCATTGTACCTGATGAGATTCGTCTATTGCAGGCCCAGGCTGTGCAGCTATGTTTTTGTTGATGTACTGCGTTCTCGTCTCTCTGGTCCACGCAGAATTGGACTTGTAGTACTGATACACCCGACCATAGAACTCTCTTGCGATGCCCCCGATAGCATTTCCATTCTTGGAGTCCGTCCAGCCAAGGCCGGATACCGTCATGCCGCCAATGTGATTGGTTGGGGATACAATCGCAACACTTTTGTTCATGCGCGTCGTTTGGATGGCCGCAGCGAGGGCTGCTGGAGTGGACCCATATATGAGGATGTCGTAGGTTGCGGATTCAGAAAGTGGGCAGTCTGTTCTTTTCTTACTCTGGGAGCGCAGAGGAGCCGAGTCACTAACATGAGGAAGCATGGTAAAGATCAATAAGAATATTGCGCCGAAGTAAAAGTTATAGAAGCATGATGATGGTCCATACAGTCGTTGAGCTGCCATTTTGAATGGTAGGCTCATAGAAGTTGCTTTGACGAAAAGAGTAACAAGAGTGGCTATCCTCAAGGATGGGCGAGGAGCGCTTTCGAAGGTGTTTATACCCGCCGAGAAGTTGTTGCCTCTGCCGCGATCGTCCAACGGGAGAAGTATAGCTATAATCAGAATCAGTTGCTGGTAACACGTGTCTCACATCCAACGTAGGGATAAACCAAGCTTTTCCTTGCATGTTCCACTCACAATAGCTTCTCTGGTGTGCTCTAGAGTCTTAGACAATACACTTTTTCTAGTGGGCAACACCTTAAATTCGTTTAAACTGGTGTGATCCGTGTTAGCCGGTGTCTTTACTTTTGTTCTGTGCGCATGCCAGCCTGTGCACCACCCAATACTACCGCAACGTGACCAACTCGACACCTCAATGTGGGCCAACTTTCAGCATTGGCAAGAAGACTTCCGTCAGCAGATGTGAGTTCGTGATGCTGTCGAATTAGAGACTTTCGGCAATCTATAGCTCCCGGCAGTTATCCGCATCTAATGGAGGACCGCAACTCTGATTACCCTCCGTCCTGAACGGCGTACTGCGGAGTTCGGGTGGCTGGCTTCAAATGCGATGAAATTAGCGAAGCCCACTGCTTAGAGGCACAGATCACTGTAGGATCAGGAACACAAACCAGGAACCCCGTATTGTACTACCTCACCTTGCGTTGGAAGTCAATGCGAAGCGTTGCTACGATAACACCAGAAGATGGGATTAGCCTAGTTTACGCGCAAAGAATGACGACTGTTGTTCTTGCAGAGCAGGACGCCAGCTTTTTTGCGGGGTTGGACAGGGTAGCCGCACGAATTGAAGTGATCAGCGCCTTCGGTGCAACAAAGTGTCCCTGTCAGCCATGGCAGTGTCGTTTTCATGCTGCCGAGAATGTCACCTTGATCTGCGAGCCAAGATGCTCCCCCGCCTCAGCATGGAGGAAGTGTCTCATGACCTGAGAGACTCTGAATCGATTAGCCAATGGCTCAGGTGATGATTCGCTTGGTAAATGTATGACGTTCTATCACGATCGAGATGCATCAAATGGCATCATAACGTTGCAGTGAACGTCGCCTGCTCACGATACTACAAAGTATGACCATATTCCTACTGCAGCAATGGTGTCGGAAGTAACAAGCGACTGCCAGAGGATTCGCTCGACGGTGTCATATGAGGACCTTTTTCCCATAGGAAGCCAGGGTCATAGATTGCATCTGGTCTTGAGACGACCGTGTAATACACATCTCAGGCCAGCAAAGCCAAACTCACATGCTTCGCGATTCCACGTATTGTGACCAAATGCATGCCGTTGTGGAGAATCAGAGTTCCGACTACCAAGTATAACCGCCGGTAAATATTTAACGTCTCCTCTTATGATTCCTTTCCTTCACTATCCGGCGCCATATCCGTGGCCCTAACGACTTGAAGAACGGTAAGAAACTCCAGAGACAGCGTTTGCCCAAGTAATTCTCGCGGTCGACAAGAAACCGGCAGAATCGACAAGAATAATAAGAAGCCGGCATTATGCTCCTCACTGCCAATATAAGGGCCTTGACTCATCCATGCCGACCGTGTTATCCCAATTCATGCCGCCGGTCATTTCATCGTACCCTTGGCTGGGAAACTCGAGCTCATGAAGCCATTGGTGATGAAACCCTGGCATATCTAGTGATGCGGAGCCATCCGTAGTACACAGACCATCTTGTGGCGCAAGGTCGATGAATTGCCCCAAGATCGATGCTGCACTTTCTGAGTTTCCCACAGGTCCTCCGAGCCCAAATTGTGCAATCATGTCTGCTGCGCCAACGCTAGGCCCATAGACAACACTTCCTCGCAGCAACGATGCTCGGGATCGAGCGGCTCGCGCCTTGCCTATCAGCCTCCGTAATGGCTTATACGCATCGCACATCATTCCGTCTATCTCCGATGGCCCCCTTGGGCTCGGGCCACTCCTCTGATGGCAAGGACTTGACAGCTTGAGCCCCAGACCAAGCGTTGCATCTACTGCACCCCATGCCCTATCGACCTGTTCGCCTTCTGTGCGAACACACAAGGCAGAGAGTAGAAAGGTAAGCGCATACCACTGAATATATGTCTCGCATAGCCATCTCCATTTCTGGGTCTTCTTCTCTGTGTTCAGGGCCAGCCAATATTCAAGAATCGTGATAGATGCAGTGAATAGACGATGCTGGGTTTCATGAGGCAGCCCAGCGAAACCGGTGCGGCGCAATGACGGATGGTGAGCAACAAGCCGCATTTTTGTGAACACAATTTGCGATATGGTATGTATGAACCAGGAGAATGGTTCAGATAAGTCGCAGTGTATCAAGTAGAGATCTTGAAGCCGCTGCTGGCTGTCAAGAATTCGCTTCATCTTTCCTGAGAGGGCGACATCTTCGAGTGGTTTTCCAACTGGATTGGTCGACGAGTACTGGAGTTGTCGAAACAGAGACGTTGCCTCAAAACGAATCAAGCTGAAGGTCATCTCTGTGAGACCAACTCGAGGTTGGGGAGCCTCTTTCATGCATACAGTCAAGTCTGAATCGTTGACGTTGAGCGGAATACGAGTGTCTGCGCCGCTGTGAGGAAGAGTAGCGTCATGGCCAGAGTCTTCGCATGCGCGAGAATCAAGGACGCAGATACTCCACCACAATCTCCGTCTCATTTCAACGGTGAAAGGTGACAAGTTGAAGTGAGTCCCATCACGGTGTATTCCCGCGTTCTGTGCAAGACGAACCACAAGAGCAGTCAAACTCCACATTAGTCTGATGCTGCAGTGATTCCGTAGGCTCATGAGAAAAATGACAAAAGCCTGTAGAACGATCAACTCATCCGTTTCAAGGAACTGGGCTCTAGCCAGTGCCTGCTCCGTAGCAAACTTGTACCTATCGATGAGGTCTCCCTTGTGGCTACCGAAAGTCTCCCGGCATTCAGTTTCCGTGAGGCTCTCCACAGAAGCGAAGTAGATGGAGAATATGAGCGCCTCAAGTCCTCTAGGTATGCAGCTTGGTTGCTTGACGGCTTGGAGGATGATTGGTTCCATTGTAGGCAAATGCAAAACCTTGATTAGCCTATCGCAATTCTCTCTGAACAAACGCCAGTAGAGCAACGCCTGGTGGACTGGTGGGTGGAGGTCGATCAAAGACTGATGCCGAGAACCACTCCCAAAGATGAAGCTTTGATCGGTGGTTCTGTTGTCCAACTTGTGGGGTGGGTTTGAATGCATTGAGAAATCCGGAAAGTCCATCAGTAGGCTCTTCAGATCATCCACCTGGTCAGATAAAATGGTTGAGCATGAGATTAGCACGAGTTCTCATCGTCGTCTGTTATCAGCCAAATGACATACCTCTTCGTCCAAGCTTGCCCAGAAGCTACTGCTGATGTATCTGCTTCGTCCATCTCCAACAGCCAGCCTACCAAACTCCGTGCCAAGTTCAGCTATTGTATCATTCTGTGACCCGTCGCTGTTGGTAGAATCCGAACGAGGCGTAGAACCAGCCTCTCGAACGTCTGGAGTTGACCGGGCCTCTGCCTTCTGAGAGGATGGCTGTGTGGCTACTTGATTGTAGTTATCTCGCAAGTGGCCAATTACTCCCTCGAGATGCTGGAGCCTCTCCAGCATCCCTTGCGTGGTCCTTGGCCTAGTCGAGGGTCGTCTCGGCACAAACAAGCACTCTGCGCCAACTTTGCGACAATTCACGCAAGGGTAGACTCTGTCGCACTTTTTCTTCTTCTTTCGACACGATAGGCACGAGTATGGGTTCAGCTGTGGATGTCCAGTGAATGGTTCGGTTGTTCCGCCACCAGGCCGTGGGGAACCTGGCTCATCGGCTTCGGTGGGCTGCATAGCATGTGCGGAATCCATCTGGCGTGCTTCGTCTGTCTCTTTCATGGCTCTTTAGAATGAAGAATGGTTGACCAGAGTTAGTTGCAGCTGAGGCGGCCTTATCGGAGTGCGGTGCCCTGAAGATCAGCCTTACATGAGCCGGCTGAAGAACCCGGCTTCCTACACAGTTCTGTTAGAGCGGACTCTTGGCAAACACCGCCAAAGACAACTGCCGATGTTATGGAAACGCTGCTAAGCCTTAAAGAGTAAGTCACTTGGCTTTTAACTCTATTCTTACTAAAGTTGCAATAACCTATAGGTATTTTTAGGTATAGTATAGCATGCTGGCCTATAGGCAGGGCTTAAGTATAAAAATAGGCGCACTAATAACTAGCGCCTAATTTAGGCGCTTAAATTAGGCGCTTAATATTATTTAGGCAGTAAATAGGCTATATATATAAGTAATGCCTAATAAGTATACTTATTTTAAGCAGCTTATTTATTTAAAAAGAGAAAAATTTATAAATAAGAAAGTTATATAAATTATTATAATAAATTATTATAAAATGCATTTTTATAAAGGAAATAACTATAAATACTATATATTATGCCTTAAAGCCCTTACTATTAGCTTTTTAAAATGCCTTAATAAGTGCAGTTACTACTAAATGCTACTTTATTATAAAAAATATTTTATATATACCTTTTAATATAAGTAGCTAAAGTAATAAGCTATTAGTAAAGTTTATAATTAAAAACTTAAGCTTATTAGGATATTAAGAGTTATAAACCTAAGCTAAAGTAAATAAAGGCTTATAAAAATATAACTTTTATTTTTATTATTTTTATTTTTATTATAAAAAGAATTTATTTTTTAACTTTTTAAAAAAAATAAGGATAATATATAATTAGGCTTATTAATATTTTATATTATAAAAGTCTTTTACTTTATTAAGTTTATAAGCTAAAGAAATATAGTAAAATAAGAATTTAAAGTTTTTAAAATATATAAATAGCTTAATGCCTTTTTTAATTTAAAAAGCTATATATTATATAGCCTTTTAATTTACTAATTAAAGTAATTCTTATACTTAAGGAGGGGAAGTTATTACTAGTAATCCTTATACTTAAAAAGATAAATATTATATTACTTTTAAACTATTTTTATATTTAAATAAAAGTAATTATAATAGTAAATTTAATAATAAATACTTTAACCTCTTTTAAAAAGAATACTGCTTAATTATATAGTAAGAAAATTTTAAGCTATTTAACTTAAGTAAATATATTATAAAATATAAAAAAGGCAGGATTAGAATTAGTAAATAATTTTATTTTTATAATAAGCTATAATAATTAGCCTTAAATATAAAAGTAAAAGATTTAATAGCTATACCTTTATTAAAGAAGTTATAGTAAATTTAATCTGCTTATTAAAATATATTTTAAAACTAGTAAAGTAATTAAATATTAATAGTAATTATTATAAGTAATTATTATAAAAATATACCTTATTTAAGCTAAATAATATTATATAAATAGTATCTTAAAAAGTATTAAAAGTGCTAGCTGCTAATACTATTAAGTAATAGTGCTATTAATAATAGCTAATAAATACTATTTTAAAGGTATTTTATAAATCTCTTAATATAAAATTTAAGTACTTAGTATTAGCCTATTTTATATTAAAATTAGTATAACTTTTAAGGGGGCATAATAGCTATATAATATAATATATATTTTAATTCTTAAGTATAATTATAATATACTTTTTAAGCTTAGCTTAAGCTAAGTAAACTGCTAAAATTAATAAGTTTTATTAATATATAACTAGTAAGGATTTAATACTATTTTAAAGGTTAACTAATATAATTAAAAGGTATAATATACTTACTTTTAAGTATTAAATAGTTATTACTAAAGTAGTATATAGTTAGTTACTTATATTATTTATTATTTATAAAAATAGGTAATTAATATTAATAAAATATTTAATTTAGTACTAATTTTTTATTATAAAAGCTTAATATTTATTATAAGGGCTTATATTATAACTTAATACTTATAGTTATAATAGCAGGCTACCCTTAGTAAATAGAACTAGATAAATATTAAACTATTTAGTTAATTAAAAATAGATTATTAAATTATTAAAATAATTTATTAATTTAAAAAGAATTATTTAAATTTATAAATAATTTATCTTAGGATTATTTAAGCCTTAAGATAATCCTATTAAAATAACTAGATATATAAGTTATATTTATATTATTTATTTAAATAGTTTAATTAGCTAGTTATTATTACTTAATAGTATTTATAATATAAATAAATTAGAACCTAAATATTTATTATATAAGTATATTAACTAGCTATATAACTATATATACTTTAAGTACTAACTTAACTTTTTACTAATATAAACCTAAATAGCCTTTTATTAAAGCTATTTACTTAAATAGTTTATTTTTTAAGAAATAGTATTCTTACTAATTATAAAAACCTAGTTTATTATATAATAATAACTCTTATTTAAGAAGTTACTTTAAACTCTTAAAGTAATATTAATTAAAAAAGTATTACTTTAAAATAAAAATAAGTAACTATAATAAGTTAATATAGTAACTTTAAGAAATA